AAGTGTTTTTCGCTTTAAACTAGTGAACTTTCTTCGATCTTAAATTTGATATTGTTTGTAATATTTCTTTTTGTATGGAATTTCTGGGAATACACATTCATAAAATGAATATTACAGTCAAACCCCCATCTCTGACCACTTCGCTTTTATATGATTATCTCCAACATTTAATAATTATTAGTTCATGCATCAGTGTTGAGATACTGAATACGCAGGAAGTTAAGAGAGCACAAAAGAGAGTGTAAGAGTTGCTTGAGGCGCAGCTGAGAGCAACTCTAGCCTCTTGAATTATGCACGGCTGAAGCATGTACTAATTGTTTTATAACATCATAGTGATGCCCGTACGAAAAGCGCAGCGCTGCAGAATGGCTTCAAGAAGCGCTACAAAAGAGCTGTAAAAACGCTGGGCTGCAGCAGCCCCAAATTTTGGCTGCAGTGGAAAGCCTTTTGACAGCGATAAACAGCGCTGTTGGCAGCGGTGCAGAAAATTCCCGAATCACGATCTGTGCTGCAAAGTGGCTGCAAAGTGGCTTGGAGGAGACAAAGAATGTTGTTACCGGTAATGGCCTACCACTCGTTAGTACAAAAAAAAGAAATGCAGGCTCCAATAATACAATAATCACGATACATGGTAGAGGAGTTGACAAGGCCTTAGTAACAGAGTAAAAACCACTAGAAAGTCAAAATGCAACTTATACTTTATTAGTATCCACGTGTACACGTTACAAAACCACGTGACATAGAACAAATCTGCAACAGTCTCGCTTTGTAAATATTTAGCAATCACGGTCACTCATCTGAATGTAAGAACATCCATTAACATGCAGACATTGAAGATTATCTTTTTTAAAAAATAAAGAGAATAACAGCGATTGTTCTACATAAAGTTTACACCGCCAGCAGGCAAATGCTATTTTGATTCGTTGCAATGGGCTAAGCTGGACATTGCTCACCTTGACGTTTTGTCCATGATCCACGATCTTCTACACTTTTTTCATGAAAGAAATCAACCCAATTTTACTTTGGTCGTCGTTAAATTTTACAATGGACTAAGAAACGAACATTACCACGAGCGTATAAGAATCTTGTATCTGTGTTGCTTGCTCTGGTTCGATTCGTCGATACTTAGCGTAGAAGTCACTGTTCAGTGCGTTGTTTGCAAATACGTTTGAGCTGTTCCATCAAAAAACTTCAACAGAACTTCCATCTCGAAACAGAACTAGATGCAAAAAAACTTAGAATGTTTGCGCTTTTCATTCAACGGTCGCAAACGTTTGGGCGATCCCGTGTTTGTCTAGAGGTGTAATGGGATCTCATGCAAAAGGACCGACCAATTAGATTGCGGCCTAGAATGTCTCCAGGGAATTAGCGATGACATTCCCACACTCGCCAGTCACGGAATGAAATTTATTGAAATCTTTATTCTCAATAAGTGATTTTCTTTGCGCACAAGCTTACTCACATTTCTTAGAGGTACAGTCAAAGTTTTCGCGTTATAAAAGCCGTAATCTGTGCCAAGGCTTTATCTGACGATTCATGTTATTGGCGCTCAAGAAAGTCAGATCGACCGCAGCTGAATCGTAGCGTTACTGCAGCTACTTCGCAGCATTTGAAAGTCGGCAACTGCGCTGCAAAACCGCTGCCGAGAGCTTCAAAGAGCCTTCAAAGGCAGCACAGCGCTTTTGCATCCCGCTGCAACTTGAATGAAGCTGCTGTTTGGCTTCTAAAATGCTTCTAAAATGCTGCTAAACAGCTGTAATTTAGCTGTACAGCTATTTTGAAGCGATTTTGTGGTGCTGTACAGCGCTGCAAGTTTCGTACAGGTGAATGCATCACTTAATGTAAAATTTTATTATTGTAGCACATGCTCAAGGAAGTGCATGTCAATGTAATGTGTTGCATATCATAATTTGCAAATTGGGGGAATCGCTTCATTGACAGGGAGGCGATATTAAGGCAAGGAAGGGGGAAGTAAGAGTTGAAGGTACAGAGGAGGTGCAAGGAGCAGGAAATATAATATTATTATGTTTTTATATTCCTTTGGCCCATTTTTGGTCCAAGAACTATCATAGAAATTCATGCAGAAAATGAATGAAATTGAACCTGATCTGCTTCCTGGGGGAGGGGGGAAGGGGGGGTACTCTGGATTTCAAGTGACCAAGTGACAGGGATGATCGAATGGGGGCAAACATCAAAACTCAAAAAGTCCCTTGGGATTCAAACAAAACAGCCAAAAAATCCCTGCACCAAAATTTAACCCCCCCAAAATCCCATGCCGAATTTCCGAACCATAAAAATTTTCCAGAAAGCATTAAATGATATAACACGAAAATAGAACCATTTAGTTTTGAATATCCAAAAAAGTCCCATCTTAAATCAAGGTACCCCAAAAGATTCGTGCCAAAATGTTCCTCCCTAAAAACATCCAAAAATTGAAAATTTCAAACCCAGAAAAATCCTTCGATTGTTGCTGTCATTTGAAATCCAGAGTACCCCCCCCCCGGGAACTGCTTGCAAGATAAAAAGAATTAAAAACCCAAAAATTTGCAGTGATCAACAATAATTCTTAGGTATAGGTGGTCCTTACCTAAGATGATTTCTGTAACTGCCTTTAACAGTGTCATACACCCTTGCAACGTAAGCATGAAAGTGAGGCCTTCTTAGGGCCACAAGATCTACTGCAAACTTCAAAGAAAGGGCGGTGAAAACCAGAACAATTTGTGATTTAGTTCGAGATTAAAAATTAACCCCAAAAGATTTTCCTTGAGCAGTTATAGTAAATGAAAGTGTGTTTGAAAGTGGACAGTGGAGAAACTAACCGTAGGCAAGGATCTTTCAGAAATAAAGGAAAAATCAAGTCTTTATAATAATACTTTATTCAAGACATTTACAACGTGGTCAGCGATTAGCAAAGATGGCAGATGTGTTTTGCTTACTGCATACGATATGTCTTCCGTTCACTGCTTAATGCAGATTCTTACAGCGTTTTTTTTTTCTTTATTTTTTGGTGTCTCCATGTGTCCATTTATGTAACAAGCGAAATGCCATCAAATGACAAGCCTTCTTTGAAGGATCTTGAGTCGCTGCTCGATAGCAAACTCAAGCCGATTCATTCCAGGCCAGACGACCTATTCAAAAAAGTTAAACAAGGCTCTACAAGCAAGAATTGATTCACTTGAGGCAAGGAATGCGAGTTTAGAAGCCGAAAATTCTAAACTGGCAAGTAAACTGCAATTCTGCGAAGCTTCGTTGAATAAATTAGAACAGTATTCTCACCGCGAGTGTGTAAAAATTTCTGGCATTCTTGAGGCAGAAGACGAAAACACAAGGAAAAGTGCAATAAAAGCTATTTATCCTCAGTTGAGGATATTTCTCAGAGCAAATCTGTGCCTTTCTTTTCTACAATTCATAGAACATAAGAAGTCTTTCTGCTAACCATAATGGTTTGACAATGCTGTTATCAGATTTACAACATTCATTCGATGTTATTGGCCTTTCCGAAACAAAGATAAAAAGTAACTGTGATCTAACTAGCAACATTGCTATTGAAGGATTTGATTTTGTATAGTTTGGGGCAACACTTGTGACCATAACACTAAATCACCTCCAATAATACAACAGAAAGCAGTCTGTTTAATTACTTTCTCCAATTTCGATGCACATACAAGTCCTCTGTTTGCTAAACTTAACCTTCTTAAACTTCAGGATCATATTAATATTTTTTTTCAATTTTATTATTCACACTTTATAAAATATTTACATTATATGTAGTAAGGTAGGAACACACTAATAAAGTAAAAGAAGAAGGAAAAAAAGAAAATTAATGTTTTGGGTAGAACTGTACGGTGGTCAGAGGAGCTTAGCTTTCGAGCTAACCACCGCCATATTATGATTGAAAATACATAATAAACATGCGCTTGGTGCCATGGCAACTATGTGGACGATTATGCCAGCAGTCAGGTTATGTGAGACAGTCATATTACAATTGTCACCTTTGAACTGTTAACTAGAATTCACTTATATTCTTTTTTGAACTTAGGGTAGCTACCGTATTTATTCGAATTAGCGCGCACCTCGAATAAGCGCCCATCCTAAAGATAGAAAAAGTTAATAAGCGCCCATCCCACCCCACCCCCTTTCACCTCCCAACTGAAAAAATTTAATAAGTGCTTATAAGAGACTTCCCCAAAGACAGAGTTTTCTTCAGAGTATTTTACAGGAACCTTGCTTTGTTACTCATCTTTGAGTTTTGTTATTACCATTTATTGTTTTGTTGCAAAATAAACATACTATACTTTTTCAAATTGTGAAAATTTAATAAGTGCCCAGCCTCTAATAAGCGCCCACCTCGAATAAACGCCCACTCTCAAGGTCCAAAAATTTAATAAGCGCCCAGGGCGGTTAATCGAATAAATACGGTAAGTGTTTTTATCTTAGTAGGAATCTCTTCCCAAGTTTTGGTTATGGCAAACTTAAATGTGCGTTTGCCGTAATTTGACCTTACACATGGTACATGAAAGTTAAGATTTGAGGCATATCTGGTATTGTGTGAGTGAATATCAGACACCTTTACGAGGTAGTTTTGAAACACTTCAGGGATATCGGCTTCATTTTATGAGATTTTGTGAGCTAGCAAGGAGATTTTGAGTTTAAAAATGCTATCTATGTTAAGTATATCTGGAAGTTTGAGGTAGGGTGCACTACTTTCTCTATTAGGGCTAAAAAATATGCAGAGTATACATTTCTTTTGTTTTGTTTGAACTTTAGTTAATCTAATTGGGTATGTGTTTCCCCACATGAAGGTAGGAGTAGATAAGTGAGTAATATATTTGCTTGAGGGTGTTTAAAGTTAAGAAATGACGTAATCTGAAAAGGATTCCCAAGTTTTTAGATATTTTGCTGTTAATGTGCTGAATGTGGGGAGCCCAATTTAGATTTTTGTCAATGTAGATACCCAGGTATTTGATGTAGTTCTTTTCTTCAATATTGTGTAAATTAAGCTTAAGTTTATTTGCTTTTTGGGGGGAGGAGACTGTCATATAGTGGGTTTTCTTAACGTTTACAGAAAGTTTATTAGCTGAGCAGTAACTAAGAAGATGGTTGAATTCCTCATTTATAGTTTTTTCAAGGTCCTTGCTCAGTGGAATAATTTTTGCTGAAGCCAAAATTAATTGGTGTTTAAAAAGAATGTTTTCCTTTTCTAGGAAATGACTTAGCTGATTGCAGTCTTTCAAGGATTTAAGAAAACGGAGAGAGTACAGCAATGGGACGGTAATAGCCAGGGTCTGTCACTGCACCAGTCTTAAAGACTGGGGTAACCTTTGAGATCTTGAAAATATCCGGGACAATACCTGATTCAATTGATTCATTAAATAAGCTTGTGAGGGGAGTTGAAAGCAGATTGCTGGCAATCTTGATTAGATAGTTAGGGATATCTGTAGTGGCTTTGTGCCTATCGAGGCCAGATAGTGCTAGGCTAAGCTCAACTTGCGCTGAATCCACCGGGGAAAGAAAAAAACTAGAACTATGAGTTGCTGGGAGGAATGCATCAGGTTTTATACTTGAGTTAATTGCAGATGCCAAATTTGGACCAATATTTATAAAGTACACATTGAACTGATTGACAATGTCATGTTTGTCGGTGTAGGTTTTTCCATTGTAGTGTAACTTTGCTGGTACAGTGTGCCCTTTAGGTTTCCTGTTTATAATGGTGCCAATTAATTTCCATATATTTTTTAGGTTGTTCTTATTTAGTTCAAATTGCTGCTTATAGTAGGATGACTTACATGTCCATTTCAGCTTATTCAGAGTATTTGAGTATTTTTTATAGTAACCTACCTTGTCTAGATCTTTAGAAAAGAAAGTGCGTGCGATACATTTTCTGCTTGTTTCTTATAGAATTTAATAAGGTATCTGCTATCCATTGTTTGTGAACCTTTTGCTTTAGACGGCTGCGGGGTATGCGTTTAATTGGCGCATGTTTATTGGCTGTGCCTTTAAGTTTTTAGACAAAGCTGCTGGCTTTAGTGTGGATGTCAACTGACTTTATGTCAATCAGATAGGTCTTAGAGTCAAAATTTGAATAGTCCCTGAAGAATCTCTTTGGTTTTAGCCTTGTTATCTGTCTTCTAATGAAACAGAAAGTGGGCAGGTGGTCTGATATGTCCGTGGTTACAATACCAGGTATGATTTGGTCAGTAGAGGCATTTGTGTAAATATGATCAATAAGAGTTGCGGTATGGCTTGTGATCCTAGTAGGTTTTGTTATGACTGGGAGGAGGTTACTACTGTTAGCATATCAAGGTAGTCTTCAGTTTTGGAATGTGTACCTACTCTTAGAAAGTCAATATTCATGTCCCCTAGGATAAAGACCTGATGCTTGGATTGGTTTAAGGGACTGACGAGGTTTTCTAGTTGAAATATAAAATTATCAAGATTAGACGAGGGGTGCCTGTATATACATCCCACAATTATGCTAGGTTTGTGTTCCTGTAAGATTTCAATCCAGCAGGATTCTGCCTCAACAGATCTAAAGCTTAAATCTGACCTATCAATTGTATTTGGGGAGGATGAGATGTAAATACCAATACCACCAGCCACTGTTTTAGAATCAGAACTGCAAAATTTGTAGTTAGGAAGATCTATGTTTGCTGATGAGTTACAATTAATTCTAGTTTCAGTTACAGCAATTACATCAGGTATATTATCAAAGCAATATAAAAGGTCGTGTAAGAGCTCGAAGTTTTTTTGCTAGACTTCTAATATTACAATGAAAGAGAAAAATGGAATCGTTATCTACATCAGCTAAAAGGTTATTAGCATCAGTTATGGAATAGTGCTCAGAGCTAGAGGTTGACAACATTAAATCAGGGTCAGATTCATCGAACTTGTCAGGATTGGGAAGGATTTTGTACAAATCAACACCAGAGTTGATGAAGTCACTGACATTACCAGAACCGAGTACAAATCTAAATTCTCTTTCATCCCACCTGAATCCCGCCTGCCTTTTTACCTGGGAAATCATTAAATGGGGGAATCCAAACATTTGAAGAAGCCATTATTGAATAACTACTAAGTTACTACAAGGAGTATCAACCAGATATTAAAGTTTCATTGTGATGGAGAAATGTAGTCTTCGAATTCTTCAAATGTTGTAAATGTAAATTAATGTCTGTGAGGTTTCATGTTTACGTAGATAGATCTTACCATTATTCATCCATTTGAATTTGTACTTGTTTTCCTTCTTGAATTTGTTTACCCTTCCAAAGAGTTCACTACCATACTGGGTTAGGGATTCATTAATGCACATAGCAGAGTCTTGGTGAATGCTTTTCCCCATCTCACAAGCCACGAATAGAAGCACGCTTGCTTTTTTCCTGCCAAGGTGCTTGCGTGACTTGTAGAATTTGTCTCGAATTTGACAATAAATCTGTCCTTCTTACCCTTAGTATCGGGCAATCGGTGTGCTATCGAAAAGTCCTACTTGGATGGAGTCTATGGCTGCTTAGGCATTGTAGACTGAGCCATTAAGATGGTTGATTTTGTTGTCTTGAGCTTCGCACCAGTTGTTAAGATTGTTTATCTGTTTCTTGGTTGACTGCATTGACTTTAAAACGGAATCATATTTATAGCTGATCAATTGCTGTGACGACTCAATCGAGTCGAAACGCTTTGACAGATTAGTTATCAGGCAGTTTACCTTTTCAATTTCAGTCTTCAGTTTATTTCTGATTTCTTTCTTGATGTTGGAAAGGAATTCTGTCTTCCAGATCTTTCGAATGTTGTTGACAGTGAGCGGTTCTGAGGAGGAAGCCATTTTTGTTGCGGAGCTCAGAAGTCGCGTCCGGTCGCCATGACACCCAGGCTCAGCAAGCTCAGCGAGGTACAAGTATTCATTGGACATGTACCTTATTGAAATGATGTTTGTTGAAATGATGTTTACCAGTTGGTTATATTTTTGGTTCTTTTTCTGGCGTTTGTAATTCATAAAATATGTTTTAAAATGTGCCTAGCACTAGCTAACTTGTTTACATGTTCATGCAATAGTTAGTAGCAGCTTCTTGCTGTGTTTACTTCAGTTCGTCTTAACTTAACTCGAGTACTCTTCAGAGCTCTTTCTATCTTAGTTGTTTTTGTTGTTTTTGAGACTTGTAATGAATTTTGTTATACATGTTAAATAACCTCAAATTTCTGTTCAAATATTACCACCTTCAGTAGTTTCAATCATTACTGTAGTTCATTCTCAAAAACTTTCTGTTAATTTACAATTTTCTGTTCTCAAGTACTGTACCGCAGTGGAGGTTTGCTAGCCAAGTAGTTGACACCTGGAACTTCTGATCTGTTGATCTGGGTTCAAGCTCTGCCATCTTCTTGTTTTCATAGACGAGAACCTTTTATCTTCTCTGTCTCTCTCAAGTGTATGCATATAAATATGTGGGTCAGATGACTCGCTGCTAGGGGTAACCCTCATGGGTGCCACTTGAAAATTATTGAAATTATTATTTTAATTGTATGGTAGACAGTTAAAGTAAAACTGAACAAATTTTGCCTGTGAAGGTTGCTTTGTTAATCTTGTCTATACTGTGTTGGATCTGCATTTTAATTTAGAGTTATTTGCTAGTCCTGGTTAATTCCATGGATATTGGCTCAAAACCTTTATTTCTTGAGTAAGACAATATTTTTATTAAAATAATTAACCAATTTATTCATTATTCAAGGAATTTTATGATATCTTTTGAGTAATTTTGACATGTACCTGTGTCCTTTGCTAGTGAATTTTACTGGTGAATAAGGAACATGAACTGTAAAATAATTATTTGGCAAAACTCTGATACATGTGGTGTAGATTAAAAGACCAAAAAAGCCTAATTACTGCAATCAACTACAATCACTAATAAAGATAGCTGAAATTAAAGTGTATGAAAATATCCTATCCACTGCATCTTATAGACGGCATCTTATAGCCGTCACAGTGGTTATTGCAACAACAATCACTGATCACATTCTTATGTAGAGGGGGTTTCGATAATAAATCATGCAGGGCTTATGATTATTTTGCGTGGTCACTGAACCGTGAAATTCAGGTAAATCCACAAAATCCCTCGAAATTCACAAAAACACACAAGATACGGCAACATATTTGGAACTTATCTCAGCTATTGGTGCTGTTCAATTGCCGCAAACTTGCGAATTTATCTTGAAACGAGCAAACAACATCCCAAAACCACCAGGCGTAAATTATGTTGCAAAAAACTGGGCACTAGCCATGATATAAAAAGCTTTGCCATAGGCTCATTTCTCGATGTTATAGTTGTTGAAAGGGCAAATGATTATCTCTTTAAAAAAAAAATGTAAAACATTTAGATAATCAGATAATCAGATAATCCCAAAACCGATCAATTTTTAGCGAATTCTCTCAAATCGGCCATATTTTATTGATTGTTGCTCAGTGAAGTTTACCTTGAAAATTCCCACGAAAATCCTGCAAAATCAGCTGATTTTCCGCAAAATTTGACCTTTTTCTCCGCAACCTATCAGAAGCCCTGATTAAAATGATTACAATATCATTTCTTATGATTGTTCAGCTTGTTGAACTTTTTATAGCAGTGGGTGCAATCATTGGGAGCCATGCTTAACACAAACTGCAAGACATCATCTAGTTTTGGTCATGTAGATTTGTAGACAAACAAAGAAAAAGGTCACTATTTCAGGGCTCGAAAAAAGTCCTGTCTGGTATTCAAGGATGACTAGATTTTGTTGCTTGGCAAGTAACTTGTAAAGCTAACTTGCCTGAAGGGCATACATCCAGGCAAGTTGAACCAAATTCCAACTAAATCATTGAGAGCTGCTTGCCCAAAGGACAACTTCTTGTTCCTCTTAATGTACCCAGATACTGGGGCAGAAGTATTAAATACATGTATATACCTTATTGGTTCTAAATTTCACTGATCTTAGATTTTGCCAATTGTGTTTTTTGCAATTTCTAAAAAAAATCCTGAAATTAAAGATGCAAATAAAATTTCTCATGAATTGAAGCACACAAAATAATATAGATTTAATAACCATAAAGAAAATTCAGGTCACAGAAAAAAAAAATATTTGCACTTGCATGTATGTTAAAACTCTTAGTGTTGCAAGTTGCAGCTCATTGAGAAAATCCTACATATGTACGTTGTGATCAGTCAAGTCTTTTTCACACATGTTGGCCTTTCAAAAAGTGAGTCTCGCAGTGTATAGCCACCCTTGTGTTAAGGTTAATACTAGCGGACGGGACACAATAACCCTGCAAAGTTTTTTTATGGGGGATTTGATTCATTTTTGGATAATGAGGGATGTGCCACCAATTTGTAAAGGACTCAGGGAGTAAAGAAAGTCAGTTTTACAGCTTGCCATTTGGGCAAGCTGTATCTAGCACGTACTAGCCTAAGAGTCTCATTAACTGCCTTTAAAAAAAAAATTTGATGAGCAGGATTGTATACAGTTCTTCTGCAATTTGAACTCCCCCAAAAAATTTACCTCATGCCCAGCGGGTAAGTTAAGAACAGAATTCACTAGCCCAATAGCACAATCCACTAGCGGCAGGCTATTAGACACAAATTTCATTGCACACTGGGGCTTGATAAAAGAGATAATTTTGGTTACAAGGAGTGACTTATAACTCGTATTTTGGGGCCTCAAATAAGTTATTTGTGTGAACAAATACAGTGCCTTCACTCTTGGGTGTTGCACTGAAATTTGTTGGGCAACATGTTGCGTGTGCAGCTGGTAATATGGGCAACAATACTTTTTAACTTCTTGTTTCACATTGGATTGTGACAAGTTGAACAGCAATGTTTCTTGTTTTACTTGACCTTTCAGCCCTTGAAACACCTTAAAATCAATTACTGGGTCTGGTTTTATAATGTACGTGCTTTGTTGATAAAGTACATGTAAATTGTATACTGTAAATACAGTAGTTTTGAATACCCTCCTCTCTAAAGCACTGCCACAGACTCTTTAAAACTGCACAGCCTGGAAGATTGAAGACAACCAATGCTGTTGTCAATGAAGGCTCGTACAACCAATTTATTAATAAAAGCTTGACTTATCAATTAACACGTTTTAGTAAATTAACTTGTTAACATGATAAATTGCCCTGATATGTTCAACTGGCTGCCACATTACCATCTACTGGCTGCAGAAATGTAGCTGCCTTAAAATTCAAAAGTGACATTGTCTATTAAAGTACATGCACTGAGTATTTCATTCCACACTTAAGCCCTGTTGTAGGGAAATGAACTTCAGATAGATGAGTGTTGTGATTCACAACTCTCTTGTCTTGTAGAAATTTATTGGTTAGAATTTCTCTCCTCCTCCACAGGGAGGAAGGGGGCCTTGGCAGAGTGACTTTGCATAAGTGGCATAATTAAGGACTCTTTAAAATTTATTTCACTCTTTCGTTTGTTACAGAAAGAATCTCAAGAATTGCCTTTATCAGATGATTCATCGACCACATCACAAGAAGCCTCCTCAAGTGTCTTCCTGTCCAAATCAGAACTAGAAGAACTTGTTACACCAACAGTGGCTCCAGCTACCCCAAGCTATGATGCTGATTTGTCCATTACTGTCGTAAACCACGCAAGTAGCAGTGACTCATACTCACAACCAAGAGAATACATGGTTTCATCAGTAATCCTTATACCTCCCAGTAATCCAAGCCAGATTCAGTCATCCCAGGGAAGTCAAAATGTTAGAGCTAGCTGGCACTTTCTCTGAGGGAGTGGTAGCAACAAAAGAGCCAGAGGTGTTCTCTTCAGTTTTAGACTCCATGTAAGTAAACTTTACAGTGCAATGAATTAAAAACTACCACAAGGTGAAAAACAGATGAAAGGGTAAATTTAAAGAATGAAAATAATACACCATTAGTTTCCTCTATTTACCTTATATTATATTATTTACGGATAATTTTTAATTTTTATCTGTTCACTATTGCAGCCCTCCAAATCCAATCAGCAGTGAGCCCACGCCTACTGCACCTTCAGCAACACGTCCAAAGGAGGAAGAAGACAGCATAACGGCAGCTTTAAACCAAGCAGCAGAAGAGGAAACCAAACTGAAGGAAGAAGAAATGCCTTCATTTGATGAATTTAAAAGAAGAGTTTTACAGGAGGAAGAAGAGAAAAGTAAACAGCAGAGTGCTGAGAACTCAAGTGGAGCTGCGCCCAAACCCAAGAAATTAAAGGAACGAAAACAAAGCAATTATGCTTCTGTAGACTGTGATGCAAAGATCTTAGATCACAATAGTGAAGCATCTAATGTTGACAGTATTTTGGTCGAAAATAGAGACTTGTATATGTTAAATCCGTGCAGCGCACAAGTGTGGTTTATTGTGGAGTTATGTGACCTGGTTCAAGTCAAAAGCATACAAATTGCAAACTTTGAGCTATTCTCTTCTACTCCTGAAAGCTTTCGGTTATATGTCAGTAAAAGATATCCCACGAGAGAGGGGACTATGTTAGGGACATTTCAAGCTCGCGAGGAAAGGACAATACAAACTTTTCCACTAGATGAACCAATCTATGCCAAGTACTTTAAGATATGAATCTGTGAACAGTTTGCTGTCAAGTCGCCCAAAGCCAAAGTTAGTCAATAGTCCCAAGTTGTTTAAAAAATGGATAACATTATCCACCCGATATGTCACTATCTACTGGATAACATAACTTGTTTCCTTAATACTTATCTACTGGATAGTGATTTATATGGTGGATAGTGCTATCCAAGTTTTAAACAGCTGTGGCCAGAAGGTTTATTGTGCTCAGCAACTTTCTGACATCCTGTTACACGTTAATCGCACTTGTTTTTTTTCATCAAGGCTTAAAGAACAAGATATATTACTCATGTTTCGCGCCTTTTTCGCCTTCTTGTGGCTTAATGAGCGACATATTTAGTGTACAACACATTTATCTTGCTCGTTTTGTCTAAGGCTTTAAAGAACGAAACATTGCACGTATGACGCTTATGGTTGTCTTATTAACAAATCCCTTATTTTAAGTACCTTGTATATAGGTAGAAATTTCTTTCTTTTTTTGGAATTCAGTCGATGCGAAGACAATTTTTAGCTTTTTTAAACAGACACATTGTTGCAAATAGTGTTACATAAACCCTGTAAGTACCTTATGTGTTGTCCTTAATTCAATTAGGTTGAGATGTTGAGTCACTTTGGCTCAGAGCATTACTGCCCACTGAGCCTTCTGCGTGTGCACGGCAGCAGCATGATGGAAGAGCTGGAAGACCATGAAACAGATGGACAGGAAGAGAATAATAACAGTGACAGTGACAGTGATGTGCCAGTGTTACCTTCTGATCCTAGTGCCAAGGTTGAAGATCAACCCAAGGAGAAAAATCTGCTGGAAAGAGCAGCTGATACGGTTTTTAATCTGGTCAAGAAATTCACTGGAAATGGGCATGAGAACAAGCAAGATAAGTAAGGAGATGATAGTAAACTCGGCACCCAAGAGACAATAAAATGACTGCTTCTGAGAAGGAATCCCAAGGTGAAAGCATGGGAAAAATTGTCACTCTTGTTGGTCATGAAGAGCTCAACGAAAATTCACAAATGACTAGTGACAATGCCTGTATAGTAAAGCAAGGTCACAGTTGTGATAGAAATACTTCACAAGGAAAATGTGTCTCTGGTAATATAAGCCATGAAGAAAGTCCACCTTGCAGCAAAGCAGATAAGGAGAGAGAGACTGGTGCATGCAGCCCTGCTCCATCAGCGTGCCAGTTGTTTGCTCAGGTATTGGGGCACTACAGTCTGGGGTGTTATGTGGGAAGAATACGCTTTTCAAAGAATGAAAACTTTACAGTATCAATAAATTTAGCCACGAGTGGTGATTACAAGCGAAATTCTATTTTAACTCATGAGAAAGGTAAAGGTGAATCTTATGAAAAGAAAGAAAGTCAAGACCAAGAGAAAGTTCCTGCAGAACAGGCTGGAGAACCATCTACTGTTGACAACTCAGAAGAGAACAGTGCTGAATTAGATATCGTAGACCAAGAATTCTCTGTTATCATTCGTGAAATGTCTTCCAGCATTCTGAAAATATCAAATGAAGTTACCAGCTCAGGCGCATCAGGAGTTTCAGAATATGTTGACCCTTCGCCCGGAGTTTTGCAGCCTAGCGATTCACTAAACATTTTTGTGCCCGATGATGAGAAGAAGAGGGAAACTGATGACAAAACCCCCTCATTAGCAGAAGTGTCAGTTGTTACGTCGTTACCTTTAAATGCCACTCTGCCGGCTTCTTCATCTGTGGTACTTAAAAGTTCCCAAGTGCCAGTAATTAAGGATTCTTTTGTTGATGTTCCACAAGGTGAATCCAAGTTACACGATCAGCAGGAGTTAAATAAACAACCTGTACAAAGCATTCCTGACAGACCGTCAACTGTTTTAGGAAGTGAACAGGCACAATCTGTGACAAAAGGCACTTCTCAGCAGCCATTACCTATGAATGCGAAGGATATAAGTTCCAAAGATGAAGAGAAAATAGAAGACAATGTAACTGTTACTGATGAATTAAACGGTAGCAAGGGTAAAGATAAAACTGAAGCTACACCATCGGAATGCAAAGGGCCAAATTCAATTCACATTATGTCTCGATCTTCTCCTCATATTGACGTCTTGGAGACAAAACTCACTGACAAAGATGGACGAGAGGGTACTGCTCACTTACCTGAAGAGGTACATTTAGAAAAAGAGCCTATACATAGTGCCATTGAAACGTCAGAATCAACCAAAGCAACTGATTTTTCAAGCATAAATTTAGAGCCAGTTAGAACAGAAGGTGAAGGATTGAAACCAGATTTGGACAACCAGGAGCCGGGTATTGAAAGCACAAAATTGACATCCAAAATGTTGGAATCTGAAAATGTGGATCCAGTTATTCAGCCTACCATTCCTCCTAGTATTGACATTACTGACACTTCAGACCCTGTTCTTCCATTGCCAGCTCCTCCTGTTATTGGAGACACAAGCTTGCCTAACCATGAGTTTTCAACTGCAGCATCGTCAGCAGAAGCTACTCAAGATACTTCAATCCTGAGCAAAGCTCAACAAGCTGCTGTTTCTTCTTCAGCTGGAGTATCGTCAGGGGTCGGGTCAGGAGGGCAGAAGGAATCCATATTTGTTCGTCTTAGTAACAAGATCAAGGTTCTGGAACAGAATTTGAACATGAGTACCCTGTATATGGAACAGCTGCATCAGAGGTAACTTTTACAAATCTCTTCAATCTCTCGTTGATACAAGTGGTCTCTTTAAAGCTTTATTTGTGTGGGCCCAGGCTCCAGCTGCAAAAGGGAAAAGGCGAAAAAAAAAAACAAAACAATCAGCAAATGAAGTGGCAGAAATGACAAGGGGGCGGGAATTCTTTTTTTCTGCTGCCCTTTCCCACACCCCAGTCCATGTTTTTTGTTGTAGTTGTAGTTGTTGTTGTCTTTTTCTTTTTTTGGCTGTTTCGCCCCGTTTTTTGCCTTTTCCTCCACTACAGAGCCTGGTCCCAGACTAAAGCTACATGTACATTTACAACCTGATGGACAAAACTCTTTAGATGGTTCCATCTATTAATTTTTTTGAATTACGCGCTATATTACCATCTCCTCTAAACATCTAATAAAATTACCTCAACCACCCCCCCCCCGCCCTATTCAATAGTGGTTTGGCCTCTAAACCAGTGCATATAATTCTGGGCCCAGTTGTTCAAAGGCCGATTAGCACTAAACCCAGGGTTAAATTTAACCCGAGTTTCTTTTTCTTCTTTCAAAAGCATTTTCTCGGATAATTTGCTCTGTTGTTTTTAAGACCATCCAAATATCAACTTGTTGACAAAAAGAATTAAACTGAATTTACTTTTTAAGCTTTCATATCTGAATTCATATTTTGCACTAACCCTAGGTTATCTTAACCCAGCTTTGAACAACCCGACCCTGGGCCCGGTTCCTGAAAGGTCGATTAGTGCTAATCCAGGATTATAATTTTGTCCCGTTTTTTAATTTACCTTCCTTCCATTACCTTCCATTACCTTCCTTCCGTTACTGTATCTCGGGGTAAAGGCTCAACAGTATCTTTTTTAGCTCGAGTTGCATGTCCTTAGACAAGAAAACCTTCCTTAAAGCTAGGCTTAATCCTGGGTTAAACTTGACCATCTTTTAAGGAACCAGGCCCTGGTATTACTCGAAAAATCGTTGAAAAAGAGGAAGGGCGAGTAAGGCAACTCATTTAAGCGAGGGGTTTCATTTGAGGCGGAATGACAGTAAAAATAGGTCTTTTTCTATTTGTATCAACCGGTTTAGACCACAGTTGTTGCTGCGCTCTAAAAGCCTTGTACTGTATTACACGACCAGAGTTAAATAATCGAGATCGAGGAGGGTGTTATCCGTCGAGGCCGAGGCGGAAAACAACCTCCGAGATCTCCATAATTCTTCATGTGATACGAAAGTCGAATTCAATAATTGTTTTATTATTCATCAAAGTCATTCCTAGTTAAACAACATGCTTACCTCTATCGATGTTAACTTCATCTTCGATAGTGCACATTTAGGGTTGTTCAGCCCCACAAATATTCTCCAAATATAGCAGATGTCGCCGTTCAAGTTTTCTTCTTGCTGTTCTTGCCATGTTTTTAGCTATTATTTCGCCTAGTTCTTACTCTTGAAACGAGTGAAATGTCCGCCATTTTTGTTTTCATAACCAAAACAACTCAACCTCGTCCCCAGGTCTTCACGGTTAACGGTGCATTAACCTGCAAGGAAGCTGTACTTTTGACGTCATCAGCTCATTAATCGCAAAATTCTTCCAAATTTGGTCGTCAGTAGCTGGTTAAAGTGAATTATGTGTGTGCTTTTAGCCAATCAGAATCGGGGAAATGTTTTGAACGAATAATGAAAGTAGTTTAGGGTCCTCGGAGAAAGTGCTAGGGACATTCCCATAACTTCATGTCTTTTAATTCCTTCTTCAAGGAAGGTATGTTTACGTAGCCTGAAATTCAGACGTTACTGAGGGAGTAAACACTACTCAAAGTAGTTGTCTGAAATTCAGGCCTATGTTTAATTTAAGGTCATTGCGAAGATTCTCTTCCCCCCCCCCCCCCCCTCCTTTTTTTTCTGGGGGGATAAGTTGAACAGGTTCAAACCTTCAGAACTACAGCTAGTACCTTGTGTCTCCTTTTCTTGTTAGAATGCACGTTGTTTTTATCTGGTTTTGGTCTTATCAAGAGAAATAAAGTTGATGCTTTATGATGCTAACAGGAGTTGCCTTATTTTCGGTCACAGATACCGCAAGTCAGTGGAAGAATTACAGAAGAACTCAGATAAGAAAGTTGCCCTGTTGATCAATGCTACCAAGAAGGCAGAGACTATTGTATGTATAATCTTTATAATTCTTAGTGTTGGGAAATAGTGGTGAGAGTTACGAAGCAATCAGTAACTCTAACCTTTGTCGAAGCGAGTGTTGCCTACACAACATGTTCTTAGCTTAACATTAATCTGAGGAAGTTGAACCTTCACAAAATACAATAAACACCCGCTAATAAGAACCTGTGGATTAAGGACCTGCTGGCAGAAATTTGGCATTTCAATACCCAAAAATGTAAGAACCTGTTTAGCCAAGCAAAATCAAGCAGGTTCTTGTATGTGTCTTACAGGTAAATACTGAAAGATAAACATTTTGACCAAGGCGTTTGACTTCGAGGTTTCCAAGTGATACTTCAAGAAGATACTCACACCAAACTGTAATTACAGATAGACGTATTAGTGTAATTCCTACAACGAAAAAAGGTTTATAAAAAGTACAGATTGTAATTGTCTTCATGAACCTTGCATGAAGGTTTGCAATGTACAGTTGTGAATGAACACTGTATATTTAAGGACCAACCTCTCAGGTTTCTTTATTTTTCTGGTAGTCAACAACTATATCTCCTTCATAGAAATGAAGAACCTAATAAAGAACGTTCTTAGCCTAAATTACCAATAACTACCCCAAAATAAAGGAGCCTTTTTTGCCAGACCTCAAATAATGTAGGTTCTTATTAGCTGGTGTTTACTCTTCAGTGCATTTTCTACCCCTCAATTCGCAAAAATGAACGTTCACAGGCATTTTGTTTATCATCCTCTTAAAAATTATTCGTTTGAGATTGGGCGAGATTGGTACAATAATAATATGGCGTGAATGCCCTACTCTGCCACACACGGATTTCGACTGAGCGTGCTCCTTGTCAACGATCTCAAGTGCGCAACGAATCAAAACTATGGAACAAGTTCGAGTTGGATGAATTAACTGCTGTGAAAGACAGTTTCAAACTTACTCCCAGCCTGATGCTCTCTATTGGCCCGTCACTTGAAGATAACGTCAACATTGGTCTAACGATGGTAGAACCTTTAGCGCAACCATTTACGTTTGATGGTGTTTGGTATATGTTCTACAGTGTAGACGATTTTCTGTGCAAATGTCTTGTTTACATGCACATATTAATCGAGCCAATGTTACTTCTTTTTAAATGTAAACTTTACTCATTCCTTCTACAGATCAACAACCAAAAGGAACAGATCACTAAACTGCAATCAAAACTGGACAACCTGACCAACGCAGTTGCTGACAGAAAGCCCGTATGGATCCACTCAATAAGGAAGTTATGGAGCGCTATGTTATCGGTCTTTGCATTGAAATAGTCTTAATTCTTTTTCTGTTCATACTGTTTGCAAAGAGGAACAATAATTAGGAGACTTCTAACTCACCCGGAAGGTCAGTGCACTGTATGAACGGTCATGGCCCCCCTCGACTTGCAATTGAAGATAGCAAGCGCAGCAAAGCCACTGTATTGTCGGAAGGTGGGTACTACGTTCGTGCACTAGGAATATTCATCTGGCATTTTATCAACTTGATATCAACATGAAATCTCTCCCCACATACCTCCTTACGTTCCGCTTAGTAGTTAAAAATATCAACTTGGATTACTTTTTAGTTTGCCATTTCTGAGTTCCAAATACTCTCATTTTCAAAACGAGGCTAAGTGACATTTTTTCTCGTGAAAATGAGTTTAATCTGCATGACAATGAATATTATTTTCATATCAATTATACTTCAGAACGCATTTATGCAACAAGAGGTTTTCAGAACCCTTTATTTGTCATATCGGAGCAATATATTTTGTTCATTCATTTACTTATTTTTACCACCACATTACAAGTTATTGTCGGTCCAATGTGTATAGTGTACAAACGTATTTATTTTTATAGTTATTTATTTGTTTTTATTTTAGTTCCTAGGTTAAGTGGAAAAGAACAACTTCTTTTCAGTTTTGTAAAGATGGCGGAACCGGAGAGTATCGGAGGCGGCACTGATACAGATCACTATGACAAAAAATTAGTAAAGGTAGGTTTTCACACAATGCTGTTGTGTATTTATAATTGAATGGTGAAAGCTAATCCCTGATGTTTGAATTTAAATGTTAAATGTTAAATGTTAGTCCACTAGAAGGTTTCTAGAGTAAGCTCGAATTATCATTCGCCAGTTCTGTTTATTTCCAGAAGGGGAAAGAATAAGGTGTATACTGTTGCATTGCAAATACAGCCGCCTCTCGTCGCTCTCCGTCGCTAGGAAATGTCCCGTCCCGACGGCGTGGAGCGATGTGAGTGGGCTGTATTTACAGGATAGTAGGATTTCTTGTCTCTGATTTCATGCTGCTTCCTCACACGACAATATTGCACCGCTTTGATCAAGCTGGAATTTCTTTCGCAGGGAGCAATTCTAAAATAGAGACCTTTAGATTTGTGAGCATGGACGACTCAGAGGTTTTTTTGCCCCTTCTCAGAAAATAGTAATCCCGAAAAGTTTTATTGCACTTTTTTACTAGAAAAGTTAGAACGGTTATTTTTATTGAAGGAGTTTGAGCCCTCTCTCGATCGCAGAATGATAAAACTTCTAACATTTGATAACTTATTTCCGCCTCCATGACATTCTCGTTAAAACGCGTAGTAGAATGACCACGGCTGTTATGTTTTCGCGCCAAAATGATGTTGGTTCACGCCTTGCACTTCTTGCCATTGTCAAAATCTCTTCCTCGTAGTCGTCCTCGTCCTAGAATCTAACGGTCACTATTGAGAAACACTCTTAATCTAGAAATGATGACTAACTGTAGTACTCTATTTCTTGTAGGGTAATACCTTCAATACCAGTGAGAGTAAGAAGAAACGTCATCGCAAGCGTAAAGGGTCCAGTACACCTGAACTTCTGCCTGACAGTCCTAGCTATGAAACGTCCAATGGACCCGAGCCTTCCCCTGAAAGCCATTCTAGTGCTGACGCGCTTAGGTCAGCGGGTGTTGTCAGTCGTACAGCTGGGCTGCTTTTCTCGAGTGCTCGTGGGTTCTTTGGTGGCCTTCACAATCCATGGAAACAATCAAAACCTTGGAGTGTCCATAGTGATCCCAATATATCCGCAAGAAGCGAACTCAGCCAAGCGAGCAATAGCTCGCCGAGACCAAATAATCCGGGTTTATCCCGAGCAAAGAGTCTTGAGTTAGTTCCAGAGAAAACATCAATTCAAAAACCTGCACCATCACCACCAGCACCGACCCTTTCGTCCGAGTTTGGCGTGATGTTGAAGCCCCCACCAGATTGTTATTACCCTAAGAAAGGCCCCGCAAAGAACATTTTTCCTGGTCCCGTGAAATATGGGAAATATGGCGTGTTAGATTCTCAGTTGGCATAACTAGGGCCCCTCGAGAACCTCACGCATTCCTCACTCCATGCTATTGAAAGTCCGTTTTTACGGATGACTGGAGTATGAATTCGTTTGGTTTTCGGGGGTGCTGGTAGAAAAATACTTTGTGGAGAACCGTCAAAGTTATTGAACCTTTCTTGGTTTACAACGAAAGGCTCGTAATTGGCATACAAGTACAAAAATATCTTTGTTAAATGTTGTGGAAATACTTGACGAGAACTCCCAAATCCAGTCGCAGCTTTATTCTTCTTGGCAAATCCTTGGTTGCTTTTACAGAACTACTGTAAATGCGTGTATTTTAAGGCGCATAGTTCTGTCGTTTACTTAAAAAACGTAATTTGCCCTATAAAGACTGCTGCGGTCTTGCCAAAAATATGGTGGTCAAGTTGTTCCACTTACGGTTATGGTGAAGTAGAATATTACTAAGAATTAGAGTATTGTTATCCTAAGGCAGATATAAAAAGGAAGAATAAATAGGACGGGTCGTTTTGCTTGTTTTAGGAGTCATGGTCAGAGAGGTTGTCTTCTTTCAAGAATTTTGTCAAGCGTTCGACTTTTCACATCTTCCACAAGCATTTTTATTGTCGCACCAACTTCCAATATATTTTCCGAAATCTGTCATGCCCGTTCTTAGAGAGCCCAAGTAGCCGGCTCTTTTACAACCCTCGTTTTTGACTTGTGCCCGTCCATTCAAAATAGCCCTCCTGAGGAAAAATCCTAAGGGGTTGCTGTATACACAGACTAGACAATTGGTTATTTATCAGTTAGCTGGTACGAGAAAAAGATCTTGCACTACCTAGGCCTGTTTTGCCTTTTGCGACATGTCAGGCGTGTGATCAAGCACATGTGTAATTCGGATTAACCTTTTAGCACATAAAGATACAACATAATGGTCTCCCTTTTCCTCTAATTTGAATCATTAGGCTGAATAGCCTGTCCTGTGGGGAACAGGCAGATTGCTTTTCTCGGGCTTCTCAGCGTATCACTCAGAAATGACCACAAACTCAGATAGAGTTTAAAAGCCTTTAATTTATTTTAAAAAATGACATCAAATATATAGAAACTGACAAAAGCTGGACATTCGTTTATGAAATAGGCCACTGTCGATATATCCATTGACGTCATGTCCTGAGAACACGAGGAAGAAGAGTGATGACTTTCGTTTCTTCTGGTTTTCTTGGCCTGGCTATGAGTTGGAAGAATAGCACGATATATCAAAGTGACCCCATTCATACCGAAGCCCCTACAATATTTTATCTTAGTCCTGCCATTCAATAATTTATTATTATCATTATAAAGTGAAGCAATATTATTATGTAAATATGCAATATGTATTAAATGAATAAATGTATAGTTGTATAAATTGACCATTGAAACGTTCTTGCTGGTGCTAACTTCGTTCCTGGCGTATGAGCCATTAAGTAAAAGAATTAGATAAATTATGCAGATCGAGGAGGGGTATCGGATGAACACCGAGGTGCATAACTTCTTTCCCGTCTCTGACCCTGATTGTGTGCCTTTAGAAAATAGTGTGTTATATATACTGACTTCCAAACCAGACCTTAGCTGTAGAAATTGTAACAAAGGTTCCTGCATTGCTTATTGTATTGGCAGCATTGGTCGGAAATGGAATGTTATTTTTTCCGAACTGCCCTGATAATCCGAATCTTCACTTTTCATACCCAGACGTGGGTTTCCCAAGTGATCTGCTAATGACCCTATTTGAAAGAACATAAAAATCTAAACTATAATCACTATAATTATTATTCAACACCAGCAAAGATCTCTACAATAATTAAGCTTTTTTTCTTCCACTGCCGCAATATTGTTATGGTGAACCAAAGTACCTTTTATCACCTTACTCCTGATGTCACCTTTTAGAGTCAATAGTTCGTTTCTCCAACATGACATGACATCTTTATAGCGAGTGGCATTGTTGTAATCTAACCTAGCCAACTGAAACGTTCGTAACATTGAATTGTAGCCACGGAATTATGTGGTAGGTTAATATCTGGCGTCTGAGGAACTCTGAAGGCTATGATCAGTCACACTATACCGGATAGCTCTCGCACCGACACGAAAATGATACTGGATTTTGCTTCTGTCAGTTCATTTAGAAGAACGGTGATTTTCCGGCTATTTCTGTTAAGGAGCGCAACTGCGCCGCCGCCGATCTTGAAAAGTGGATCATTACATATCGGATAGGTTTCTGCCACTTTTCGTCGCAGTGTGAACATGTTTTCAGTGAAATGAGTAGGAGCGAGCATAGGCTGGGACCCACCTGATATGAAAGTATATTTTTAGGAGAGAGCACTGTGATTTAGTACACGAAACTGGCCTCTCGGCCAACCGGCCGATCTGGTACGATGTTCGATGTGTGTGGACGACTTGTTCCAGTTCTATACGGTTGTCGCTCATACTACCGGATACATTTTCATGTCTACACGAAAATCTATTTCCAGTATAGTGTGGACAGACTAAAAAAGTAAAAGAAGCAATCTAACAACTTAACAGTCATTTGTAGAGAATGAACCCATTTTAGTCGCTACAATTGTTATATTACAAGTGCTATTCAGTATTTTATTGATGTCTTTCAAATGAAATTAAATATTATTAGGTATCTTATTGTAATAACCCATTAAATAGTTGTGCTCGTCATCTCAGTCCTGTCCCTTGCTGGGTGAGAGGACGCCCGTATGAAAATGACAGGGTTGCTCGTCTCTCTTAGACGTAGACATCGCAGTTTTTGATCTCACTTTGGCTGTGCAAGACAAAAAGCCAATATTTTTAACCATTTTAAATGTATCACTTAACCCCCTGCAAACGGATGTAACTTTGTTGGCCAACAACTCGCAACATTGTCCATTGTCCAACATTGTTGGAAGTTGTTGCGTCCGTTTGCGCGTAGCTTTAGGGTTGAGCGTAAAGAAATATCTATATACAAAAAGACGTTGTCATAATGAGTTAGAGAGTGTTCTACTTTGGCTGCCATTTGTGATCGTAACTGAGGAGACTGGTTATGAATACTGGCGAACAGTGAAGATGAAAACAACGGTGTTCAGTTTATGGGTATAGTTTCTTTGTATTCCGGACGGTGTAACTGCAATTATTAATCGACTTGTCCCGTCGAGCATTCCCTCATGCTTTCATATTGGAGCCCCCACCCCCACCTTCCCCTTGAGACCCCTATAACAATCTAAAGAAAAAAAAGGGTGCTTTGACAAAATTTAAACCATAAAGACCCTACAGAAATTACAGCTTCGTATCAAGAGTACTAGCTTTACTGGTGCATGAGCCCATGGGCTCCTGACTGGTGTTAGTAGCGGATGCCTCACGGTAACATGGCTGGTTCTGATCCAGTAGTCTGAAATAATAGTAAGGGGTATCTTCCGTCATCTTCTCTTCCAGTATCGGTATTAGTTGAATGAATGAGGGTCGTTCATTTGGATCCTCCTTCCAACAGTCCATCGTCAATTTGTATCTATTGAAAAAGGAAGACATAGTTTAAAATACCGCTACACAAACATATGTCTCCATTTACATTGAATATTGAAGACACTTATGTTCTATAGGCTCTTTTTAGAATGGGGCAATGTAAAGGAAGGAGGCGCGCTGAAGTTTTCACTCCTTGGAAAAGGCTGACAATTTTAGAAAAAAAAACTCTTTGAAGTACTATGTGTATATTTCTTCATCGTGCCCTCTATTCGGAGGTCTTTTATTATTTCTATTCTGACTTACATTTCATCGCTGCACGTGTTGGGTTTCTCCATCCGATATCCAGATTTAAGTAAACTGCATAGCCTCATAGGGCTTATCCCAGGGTATGGTCTACCCCCTAAAATAACAAAATAAAGATCAATGCTGTCTTATCAAAGATTATCAGGCTTTCCTAATTTTTCATTTTGAAATCGCTGGTGATCCCTGCAATCTGATTGGCTCTCAGCAGTGTGATTTATTTACGAATCACACAATCACATCTGTTCTAAACCACGTCACACCGTCGCACCTTGCTTTATATCGCATCATTTCTGTTTCGAATATAAAATGAGATGTAAAAGCCCTTTTGTTTCCGCTTTTCAACAGGTTATTTGATCTGCCCACAGGCAAGTCCTTCCTTATGGTTCTCGATCTAAGGCACGCCTCTTGGCCGCTACGTAAGAGCTGCCATCCTTCGTTCACTCTATCCAGCATTCCCGCTCGAAGTCTTCCAGGTGGTCTATTTCCTGATATTCTTCCCCTCAATAACTAATGGGACAGACAGTTACGAAAAATTGTATTGCGTGACTAGCGTGACTTTCTAGAAGCTTCGCGAGAGTTCATAGTTTGTTTATTTTAGGATCTTGCGTAAGCGTTTCTACAGCGGTATATTTCGTAATCTTTCTATAATTGGACTATTTGGAAAGTTCTAGATTCTTATTGTAAACGTATATAAATAGGCGAGCGAGGAGCCTTCGACGTTAGTCGTGTTTAGTCAAGTGTGACGAAGGCCGTGTAAGTTTATCAAGTTAATTGAAGTTGGCGGAGGCCGTGTAAGTTTAACGAGTTAATTACGTGCTGTTGTGGAGTTTTACTTCGTGGAAACTACGTTCACTTTTAGAATAAATCTTCTTGTTGCTGTTCCGACAACCCTGCGTTCATGATCAGTTTAGTTTGCATGCTACCCGTCCTCTGAAAGATTACCCGCGTAACACAGACTCTCTGACAGATATGATGGTCCTTTCCTCACCGACACGCCTCAATACTTCTTCGTTACAGACTTTGTCAGACCAAGTTATGTTTAAAACCATTCTCCAAAGTTATATCCCACAGCTCTCCAGCCTTCGCACGTCCTCTTTCTCTAAGGTCTATCATTCGGCTCCATTCAGGAGAGCACCCCAGATGACAGTCTTTATAATTCTCTTCTTCAGGCAAAGGCTAGCTCGCTGAAGGCTTTTGTCCGGCAGCAGTTCTTTTTTTCTTAGTAAACGCGTTTTCGGGCTATTCACGATCTAATTTATTTTTCACAGGATCCATCCTGTGTAATGAGGCTCCTAAGGTAGTTAAAGTGCAACGATTCTTGACTTAATTGTCTACCCTCAAGAAATATCGTGAATTCCTCACGGGGCCCGTTTCTCGAAAGTCCCGGTAACTTTACGGGCCCGAAATCAAATATTCAAATCGAAATATAAAGAATAAGAGCGCTGGTCCTGGCTAGCAAACTACTCCATTTTGTTTTATTAACTGATAGTTTTATCATGTTAGATGCAAAACTATTGAAACCTCGATCTTTAATGTAAATGGAGACAGCTTACCGGGCCCGTTAATTATCGGGACTTTCGAGAAACGGGCCCCAGGCCTCTGACAGATTTTCTTCACCTTAGTCTTCTTAACATTGATCTTCATATCATATTCCCCCACGCTTTCCTGCATTTTACCCATCATAAGTTGCAGACCTTTAACTGAACTGGCTAAGGTTGCTTGATCATCCGCAAAGCGCACTGTCTTAATGAGATGACCTCCCACTCGAATACTTTTATTCACACCACTTAAAGCATCTCTTAGCATGGCTTCAGAATATATGTTAACGAGTATGGGGGATAACGAGCTAACTTATCTGGTGCCACGGCCAATCACTGCTGGTACAGATTGCATTCTGCGATTTCAAAATGGCTGTAATAAAGTGATAATTTCACTTCCTGTCGTGCAATTTTAGTGTTAAATCAAACTTCTGATCTCCATTCGAACTCGCGATGTCAGGTCACGTTGTGGTTAAAGGTATGACTTACAGGCTGGATTATTATGAGCCTGCGCTCCTCCCCGGTAAAGACGGCTGAGAGAGCTGCGGAAATGAGCCTATTATTTTTTCTAGTTGTTTAGCAATCAAGACATTATGCAAGAATGGCCTCTTTTATAAAGCGGTTCAAATCTCCTGTGACTGCTATCTCAAAACCGAACAGTAATCTTTTCTCTAACTACTTTCTTGGAGGATTCCTCTCAATTCCCTTGCGTATAGGAAAATGACTAGTAAGAGTATTATTCTACCAGCATCAATATACAAAGATTTTTAAGACCAGCTTACCCATGGTGGCTAGTTCCCACAAAACAACTCCAAAAGACCACCTGCAATAAAAGGAAGTAGATAAAGAAATAGCAAGAATTAAATTTCATAGAAATATCAATTTTGTTTATCTCGCCCCATGGAAGGTGATACGGATTGCGGAATCCTGGAAGTTTTTGCTCGGAATCATGGACTTTGGAATCTGGAATCCCGCTAACTATGAATCTGAGTTGGAATCTGGAATCCAGTATCTGGAATAAGGGATGTGGGGTGTGGAATCTAATATCCAAGATGGTCTCAGATTAACTTCATCGGCTCAAAGTTTCTATTTATATCTCTTATTTTCAACTTTCACGCATGGAACAGGCTAATGTTTTCCAAATACTTGAGTATTCCTTTAGAGATAGAGTGATAACCGCTCCTATAAGCAGTGTCAAAATTGTGCTCTTTTTTTTTTTTTTTTTCAGACAGTTCTAAACATTGCAGGGTTTATGTTATCTCGAACCTCAACGTCACACTGCATGGCCTAACAGTGACCTTATTAACATATCATATACTTACACGTCAGTCTTGAAAGTAAAAATGCCGCTTTCCAACGCTTCAGGTGCCATCCATTTCATTGGTAGCTTGTTTACGCTCGTAACTTCGTATATCTCATTCTCATTTACACGGCGTAACAAACCAAAATCAGCGATCTTCACCGCTCTGTCCTCACCAAGTAGGATATTACGGGCTGCCAGGTCACGATGAATGAATCCTTTGCTGGCTAAGTATTCCTGGCAGAGAAATAACGAAATTATGTCTCCAACAATTTTTAATTACCAGATACCCTTAGATCAACACAAATTTCCATTTTGATTGGTCAATATGAAAGTAAATTGGAACCTCGATTTTACGATATGGCAGGGGGATAGCAGTTTAATCGGGATATCGTTGTAAAGGAACTCCCACTGATTTAACGATTTGGCGGGAAAGCAACCAAGTGCAATGAAACGTCTGTTCCAGGCTCAAAAATGGCCCGCCACCGCCCCCTTTTCAATTCTAGATCACGCGTTTATATTTTTGCCGGTGCCTTACGCTTACGCAACATCCCTACTATCGAGAGCCTGGAAAAGGCTACTGCAAGCTGTGCCAGGCAAACGGTCCGGAAAGCAGGAGGAAGTGATCGTGGGTCTATTCATGAAGAAAGGATGGAGGATTTCCGTCACAGCTGTTGGAAAACGAAGAAACAAATTAAGGAATTGGCCAAGAAAACCCCGCAACGTATTCTTTTCAGCAAAAAAAGCCCTCAAAGTTGAACAAGCTAAGTGAACTACAGTCGACTCCCGACAACTCGAACCCTCGCTAACTCAAACCTTGTGCTAACTCGAACCAAAATCGATTTCCCTTGGATTTCCTTCATACATTTACCCTAATTTACCCTCGGTAACTCGAACCCTCGATAACTCGAAACTCCCGCTATCTCGAAGTAATTTTTGTTTCCCTTCAGATCATTTCCATACAATTTTACCCTCGATAACTCGAAGGGATGAATATTGGCTGAAAAATAAGGTTATTAAGTTTTTCAACCGCGGAAGAAAGCCCGTTGACACCTGTTGACACTTAATTAAATGCTGTTTTTCAGGGAGACTTGGGGTGAGTGGAATGAAGCCCTCCGTGGAATACCACGCCCTAAAAAGACGTTTTTTAAATATGGGGAAGAGGCAGATTTTTGTGCTTTGCAAATGATGACTAAATTGCTCAAGGCATTCTTCAGTCGAAAAAATTCTTACCATCCCTTTAGCAATCTGCCACGCATAACATAGAACTTCTTTCCCAGAAATGTCTTCTTCATCATCTTCCTTGCCCTCACAGCTGCTTTCTTCTTTCTCGATGGTGATCTTTTCTTCGACGTTTCTTAAGGGCTCAGCAAGAGTGAGCTCTTTTTCTTTGGAGAAATGGGCAATTTTGATCGAGGGTAACACCATCACCGACGCAGCCGACCCCTTTCGTCCTTCATTTTGTAGAAATGACGTGTTGACATCGTCACTTTCTTCTTCCTCCTTGTCATCTTCGTCTTCCAAGTTTGAGCACAGAGGTTCCATCTCAGATCGAGGAGCATCGTTGATTAGAATTCCTCTTTCAACGTCGTCCAGGTCGATTTTAATTTCCTTCGTCTCGTTGGAATGATAACCACCGTCTTTTCCACTTTCTTCATTATTTCTTTCGCTCTTCTCCTCTTCCAGGTTTTCATCCAGGACATCTTTTGTTTGCAGGTTCCTTGACACCAATTTCGGTCTCTCAGGAACAGGAGGCTTAAGCCTTTCAACGACATCACTTTGCTGACTCTTTTTCATTGTAAGCTGCAAAAAAATATTGAAATGAATCCCTTCTGATCATGAAACGGTTTTGTCAGCAGAAACAATTTCAGCACTATCAGTTGGTTCAGCCGAAATATTTTTACCAATTTAAAAGGAATCCATGTGAATTGAAAGATTACTTAACCGACGTTAAACTGAAAATCTAGCCGGGAATACCTTATGGGCTAACTTTCTTTAAGGCGTCCACGGAAAATTCAAATGGATTAAACGTCATATCTCGTACAGGGCTTTCGGCTCGTGTTATGTGTAATTTACAACGCTGTTTGGGGGACTTTGCCAGACTGCATAAGGTGCATTTTACAAGTAATGAAGGAATGAGTAATGATGCCCCCATACATGAGCGTGAACGTGAGATAAACCACTACACCGGCCACTACGTGCCCTACTCTTCACGAAGAGCGAGTGTGTGGGTTCTTTAACGTCCCACAGATTTATTACATTTGCAAGGGCTTGTCAGACGGGGCCTACGGTTTATCGTCCTTATCCGAGAAGACCAGAAAGTCAGACCATTTGCAGATATTATACAAAGGCAGCACTTTCTCCGCAGTTATTTAAAGACCCTGGGTGTTGCTCCGGCCGGGGTTTGAACCTACGGCCTCCCGCTCAGCAGACGGCGGCGGTTTTGAAACTCTCGACGGACAATCATTATGTCCACCAAAACATTTTGAAGGGCCTTTTAAAAAGAAACTTTTCTACTGCTTCGGTCGGGGGTTGAAAAGCAAAACTCTCGTGTTATCGGCTGATTTGAATAACTCATCTTGCCACCATTGAAAGATCGTGGATCGAAAAGCTGACTAGCATTTTGAGTGGAAGCCCTTTGTCAGCTCGAATCAAGGACGGTTTATCAAATGGCGGACCTCAACTGTTGGTGAATACATGGGAAAATGAGAAAAGAAACAAGTAAATTACTAGAATGAAAAGCGTTTGTTGAAGTAAACTATTCTTGTCTTGTTACCATGTTCAAACAATAGAGTAGCTCCACCATTAGTAATCCCGTGATTCATTCTGACCAGAAAAGGTTAATGCCCACCTGGGGGGGAGGGGGGTACTCTCAAAAATTTCGAATAGTTGAGACAAGCGAAAACCAATATCATATTAAAGACCCAAACATGGAAAATGAGGCCCAGTTCAAGGGGAAAACAAAACCTAAGAATTAAAGGAAACAGAAAAAAACTTCCTTGAATCGCGCTCCTAATCAGCTCTAGGGTAAAGTTCAGTTTTAACAGATCTATGATTTGTTTCTCGTGTGTTGGGCATTAACGCACGTGAATTTTACCTGAAAGAATAACGGTACCATATTTAAGGATGGAGATCCTCATCCTATCGGGCGGGAGTACCCCCAGGGGTAAACGCTCAAAACGTTGTTTTGTTTTCTTTTCTGACCACCTTCCCTCTCCTAAGACAACATTAACACTACCTTGTCACTCAGGGCAAAATGTGACTTAGGGGAGGGATAGGTGGGCAGTTTCCCGGAAACCTTAACTGATCTTACCAGGGCAAGCTTGGCTTTATTAACTCAGCGTTGAATACAAATTGTTGTGTATTTACCGATCTTTGTTTTCCGAATACATGAATAGCATCTAAACAGTCTGGCTGTATAAACTGCGTTTGGAAAAATACGAATATCCGGTTGCATTGATATCTACATTCAGTTAGTGCACCTCTGTATTATAAGCAACATGTACAAATTCTCACATCAAGTTGTTTACCATCTTATTATTTTTACTGAAGACGATGGTTTTTAGACGTGTGATGAGGTAGAGGATTTTCCCTCTGCCTTAAGAGACCATACAATGTAAGAAAAAGAACATACACGCCCAGGACGATGTTCATTAGAAAATTAAAGTGCAGCACAGAATACTAATGACGTCAGTGTTACTAATTTGCCATGTTTGTCTGAAATCTGCCATTTTTGTTATTTTCACGACAAAAGTCAGACAAACTTGACATTTTAATAACAAAAAGACAAACAAAATTGAGGAATTTGTTTGACTGAGTTTGAGTTCTAGAAATATACCTGTGCGCAGCCCTATTGCGAATCATGAAGAGAAGATATTTTTTAAACAAAGGGCAAAAAAGAGGGCAGCAAATTTTTGTTGACACAGCTGATAAAGTAATGATACCTGTTGCCTTTTGTTTCTGAGCCACTGAAGAAGATCTCCGTTTGGAACATATTCCATGATTAACATAATGGGAGGTGATTGGATCCAGTACCCGAGCATGCTCACAATATTACGGTGTGTGCCGACTTCCTTCATCAGCTCGATTTCCCGAACTAACTGCTGTTTGTCCTCTTCCGTGGCATTTTCTAAAAAACAAAAGACATTTAACGAAAAGCCAGGTAACCGTGACCTACGTATATGCTACACGATATCAGTTACTACTGAACAACTAAAACCAGATCTAAAGAAAAAAGGAACTAATTAACAGTCAATAGCTCAGGTCCTAATTTCTGCTTGAGAAAAAAATCTGGTTGTTAAAGAATTGTTTCCCTAAGTTAAGTGACGTAGATAAAACAAAGTCTCAAAGAAAAACCGTTAGTTCTCTTCATCCAGCGATCACCAAACACAACATGTAACATGATGTGATACTGGATGATCTTTTAGTCCGGAAACTTTTCTCTTTAATCTTAGACGCCACGTTTTGTGTTCTTTAATTGCTTCCTTATTCTCGACCCACGGGCAGTTCATCTCCAGTAATATGACTTTCTTTGAGTGCACATTTGTAATCCTTACGCATCTATCCAATTGGCTCACTTCCATTGACTCTGCATAGACAGGGACATCCCAGTATGCTTTTGTAGTTGGGTTTCATGAAGGGTTTGCGGCTCACTGTCAACATCATCATTATCATCATCATCATTATCATCATCAAGCTCAAAGGCGCTTTACAATAAATGTTTTCAACTTAAACGACTAGAAAGCAGTAACTCGTAACATTAAAAAATAGACAAATTGTTAAACAAAACTACGAAATAAAAATAAAGCTTAGAAGTTTTTAGAGCTTTAAGATTTTTCTTAGAAGAACGAATATTCACACTCTATTTTACACTGTATGTGTTCTGGAGAATCATTCCAAAGTTTAGGGGCAAAAAACGAAAAAAGCATGATCGCCCGATAAAATTTTAGCCTTGATCTGGGTGTCACTAATTAACAAGTTCATGGTTGATGATCGTGAACTCCTAACAGGCTTGTAAGTTTGAAACAAATGATGATTATAGCTCGTACATAAATAATTTAAAATTCCGCTACTCATGCTTCAAGGGAAGCCAATGTAGTTCTCTAAGTAAAGCTGCAGTAATACGATCAGATAAAGTTCTCAAGTGACTGAAACATGTGAATAACGTATTTCGAAAGATAACATAAGAGAACGACCAATCTACACATTACGAAGGCATGCACTAATATTTTGAATTGGTTTAAAGAGATAGTCTGTTATCGTCTCACAGCCCTGAGGAGTGATCATGCAGCCTGCTCTGTTTTGCATTTTTTATATCTGTGTGGTTTTGTTAAAAGGTGCCCGCTCGGTTTTCGCTCGAACACGGGCATCGATTTAAGCGCTGTATACTTTTTAGTACATTTAAATAATGTGACATAATCTCGAGCTTGTCTAAGACCACTTGTAACACGACTAACCTTGGAGCACGCCTTATCAATGTTCTGATCTTACTGAAGGTTTTTATGTCTACACTGATTGATTCATGCAAAACGTGTGGTAAATTGGAAACATTCAGGGAGGTCATTAATATTAGTAATATATAATATAAGAAAACAAAACAAAACAAAATTTAAGATCAAAAATGGGCCCCTGAGGTACATCACACTGGGCGCTTTCCATTTAGGAAAAAATACTGGAAATTTGGCTGGAAGCAAAACTGGAATTGCCGACTAGTAAAAAGTTGTTCTATTTGGTCGTAAACCCCGGTACGTCGCGGTGCCCGACGGCCCCAGAGGTGATTAAGTTCCTGACATGACGATCTTCCCAGTTTGTTAGTTTGTTAGATGTCATAGTTTCAGAATAGGGTGAAGGCGACCGACTGGAATCTCAAGAAAAAGCGTCTGAAGAGAGCAAATGGCGGGAAAAGCGTGTCAGCAGAAAAATTGCAGGGATTCTCTTCAGTGAATATGAACCTCTGAATAAATATTGCTATTACTCATTACTAGATACTTACCAATTAATCCAAGGCCAGGGCACTCGTGGTGCAAAAGTGCCTCCATTGTGGGCCCAGCAAAAAACCATTTTGATTTGCTAAGTGGCAGTGACAGATTTTCATGCCGTGGACCTGGAACTGGTACAAACTACGAGAAACGTGTAAATGGAAGACGAAATTCCGTTTGGAAATTCCAACCGGGAAAACGTGCCCACCTTTTTAGATTTTCCACTTTTTCTGGGAATTTTCCAGTGGGACGAACCGACGAAACGTGTTCCATTTACCACCGAACCGGAAATTCCGGAAATTTTGACTAAATGGAAAGCGCCCACTGTTACCGACTGGGGCATTGAGATGCTGTTTTCCACGATATAATGTTTGCTATCTATTGGATTAAATATTCAAACCTGTTACAAGAGAGCCTCTCTTGCCTGTTATTAATAAGAATCACTCTCCTGAATAGCGTTTGCTGAAAGAGTAAGTTATCTTTTTTCCATATTCTGAATTCACGCACCTGGTAGAACTTTTGTAGCAACAATACGTCCCTCATGCGAATCCAAACTGTGATCCTTTGGTTTGGAGAATGTATTCTTTTCAGGTACCCCCCTCATCACGCTCTTATAAACAATTCCAAAAGAGCCTCGTCCCAGTTCCTCCATGATAGTAACCCGCTCGTGTGGGACTTCCAGCAACATAAACTCAGCAATGTCAGACTCACTGGACCTAGAGAAAATAGTGCAAATTAAATGTTAATGATACTCGTCGTCATTAATCATGGGCTTGTGGTAATGCTTAAATCAGAGATGGCTTCCTGGTTCATACATGGTGATAAAAGTACATCGCCTTGGTCTGTAAGGAAGGTCACTCACCAGCGCGACTTGACTGAGAAAGAGACACTTAAAGACCAACAGACACTTACACAGAAAAAATATCGTCTTTTTCCGCACGCATATCATTATCATAATACAAAGCATTCATATAGACTATAACATTTTATGAAATACCGTTCACTCATCTTTGCTCTCTTACGGTAGACAATTATCCCCACCACCAAAGCAGAAAGAGCTACGGAAACTCCCAGCACTATCCAGAGTATGGGAACTCCTGTAGGAGAACCTGTGGGAACTCTTGGAAGATCCTCTCTTGTCACTGAGGGATACAAACAATCGTAAATGTAAAGAGCTGTTGACATATAAACGTGGTGGGAATAAGTTTCCTAATAAACTTATAAACGGAATAAGTTTCCTAGGAACTATTTCTCGTTTACGACTCGTTATATTTTACAGGCCTCTATATTCTGCTAAACATGCTGTGACCACATCCACATTTTTCACTGAGCCGTTTACCGATTACCTCGAGTCTCTGGTCATGTCAAGTGAGCCCTTGATAATTTTTGGCGATTTTAATATCCGTATGGACCTACTACCTGTCGAATATACTGGAGTCGATGGGTCTCACGAAGCATGTTTGTCTACTACCCATGAACTTGGTCATACACTGGACTTGATTACCACTCGTACATCTGATAAAATCATTGCTGCTTGCCCTTGTATTGGTGAGTTATTCTCCGACCATTTTCCAGTCTTCAGTCAAATAAGATCTAATAGACCTCAAGCTAATGTCACCCATGTGCAGTTCAGGAAAATGAAATCAATTGACCCTAACCAATTTTCTGAGGCCATTCCTTCTTCTCAGCTT